TTGAGCCACTCGTCGACGATTATGGCCTTCCACTAACTGAAATGCTAAAGCTCGTAAAAAGGTTCATCTTGGTTGATTTGAAGAGTTATTGATAGAAAAAGTCACGAATGAGTTTATACCAGCTACGTTTAGTAACAAGTAAAATATTACCATGGGCCATCTTTTCGTGTTACGCGCGCAATTATACGCCGCGCATAATTTATCTACACAGTCGACACCACCTTTACTCATATTATAGTCCATTATCATATCTGGTTTCTTTGTGTCACTATCTATTTCATCATCATGATGCATGCTCGACAGAAGCAACACATTTTTGTTTTTTTTTCGGTATATAAAGGCCTGCTTACACAATACGAGTTGCTGACCTGACAGTGGGCAGCTACTGCACCTATGTACTCGCATGACAGTAGCTCGACTCACCTCGTCCGGTCACACAAGTGCGACTTGCTGGCGTGAAATTAGACAGCTACTGCAAGTGTGTACACTCATCTTTTCAGTAGCTTTTAGGTCTCGTGCAATGTTGTCGCAAAATACACGACTGATCACGGTTCATACCATTATAAAAGCGGTTACATAAATACTTTGCGCTGAAATGATTCGAGCTGATAGTGCTATACAAAAAAAGAAGAAAAACAGAACGATTTGGGTCAGGAATTGGATGCAAAGGAAAGGGGCAACGCATTTAAAGAACTATATAATGAAGATCCCCGAGAATATAAAGCAGTTATGAGAGTGACACCTACACAAGTGGAAGTACTCTTAAATTTAATTGCTCCAAAAATTCAACGTGAAGATACACACATGAGGGATGCTATCCCTGCGAGAGTAAAGTTGGAGATAACCCTCGTATACCTTTCTTCTGGAATATCGTATAGATTGTCGATATTTTTCAGAATTTCAAAAGCATCCATAATTAAAATAATACCAGAAGTGTGTAATGCTATAAATGAAAGATTTTATCAAAGTAAGTAATTTTTATTAATCAAATTTACAACTGATTTGTTAATGTTTTTTGCATGTATTAAAAATGAACCTAGTAATATGCAGCAAGTACATCACTTGCGAGTATGGATTGCGAGGGTTGTTCCAATTGTGTACAGTGTGCAGACACTGAAGACTGTGGTGATGGAACGGATTTAGAACTGTAACTAGAAGGAGTATACACATTTCTAGCATAGAGGGCAGTTTTACGGTATCTAGAGAGTAATGCGTGTATTTCATCCATCGCCTCAATTCTATTAATTAGTGATAACTGTCTGAGCTGCAGTGCTACGTGTCTTCCAATTACATCACATTCATCTTCCGCTTCTTTTGGACTCGGGGCAGACATTGTTAAACATTGATTTAATTCCTTGAGTTCATTCACGGCTGCTTGAATTTCCGACCCTTCAGGTGATAATTTCATCTTTAATCTTTGATGGCTTTGGGAGAAATATAAAAATTACTTCAATAATGAGGGGGCAGTTACTTGGCAAAATAATATGATTGTGTGATTATAAATAAAATATTATATAATAATAAATCACTTACTTGTACCAGATTACTTGTTGTTTGTTTTTCTTTTAGATTAATTATTTTCATAATGGAATCCATGGCATCAAACCATTTGATGGATGGTTTATAGATGTCATCAGTGCCACATCCACTTTTTTTGCTTTTCTCAAGTTTCAGTAATTCCTTTTTATACGTAGAACGTAAATTTTTGGTCCTTTTTGTTACTTCATTCGTGTCTTGTAAACCCAATTCCATGCGAGTATGTTCAAGCGAGGCTTTACGCAAATCTCTGTTTTTATAATTAGGATCCAAACAATTCCATAAGTTAGTTTGGTCCTTGTATAACCCCACAAACGTTATATTTTGATCAGAAGTCCATCTATCCGCCATTTTTGTTTTTAATCGCTACTCGAAACACAGATGCAGCACGAATGCACTCTGCGTGATCCCAACGAGCTACTAGCTACCTAACTACTATCATTTCACGACACCGTCCGAGTCGTATGCGAGCTGCAGCTTGTGGCGTGGTGGGGGAAGGCGAGTGGCGAGTAAAAATAAAATATTTTGTAGTAACTCGGATGCGAGGTACTGACCAACTTGCACATGACATTAACTCGTATGATGAGGACACACGGTGCGAGTAGCTGCACTGCAGTAACTGACCAGGCCAGCTCGGATGCTAGCTCGCACTGTATGGCCTGGTTATACACTAAAGTGCAATTTTTCCTGAAAGCAAACATACTTGACGAAATTGGGCGACCCAATGGACGAGAAAACTCTAGAGGTAACTCTTTTTTATTTTTTCTGATAGTACCTAATAGAGTCAGTTTAAAATCTGTATCAAGGGAAGTAAGTTCATGGATGTGAACCAGTTGTCAACTGTTACAAATGGTCCACTAGGTTGAGTGCCTACATATACCTTCATGTTAGAAGTGTAGAATGTCTTTGCATCTGCCATAGCAAATATCTTGATCCCATACTTATAGGGTTTACTTGCCTTTCTAATTGTTTATCAGAATCTACTTTATTTAAAATATTTTACCTCATTTTTATATTGCGTTTGAACATTAAGATGGAAGGTGTTTAATTCTACGTATAATGGTTAAGAATAATACATTTCTATTTCTTTCATCATATAAAGCTTTCTTTAGACCAATTTTGAACGACTTTACAGCATTCTCCCCAGCTTCATTTGTTATTAGGTGATAGGGTGCAGATGTTATGTGTTATGTGCGATTAATATTATTATGTCTACAAAATTCTTCCGATACAAATTGAGTTCCATTATCACTAATTATTTTATTAGGTAACCCATACCTCGAAAAACAATCTCTCATTTTTTCTATGATATTTCCGGAGTCTATTTTATCTACAATGTTGGTACAACCAGAAAAAGTTTCTTCTTTTGCATGACATGTGCACTACTTCATAATTTTCTCCGACGAAATTCCACATCCAGGCAGGTATATTCTCCAAATGGAGTTTTTGATTTTGAAGTAGACATACATTTTAAACCAGGGACATGGCATCAAGACAGCAACAATTCATAGCTTACGCCACTTTGAAAAGTACCCAAAAAACCGTCCCAGAACGCCAAATATATTCAAAGGGAGTTCGCAGAATATTTTTCAACCAATGGAGCAGTTGAATGGCAAGATTATGTTAATTAGTTGATAGTTGATACTTTTTATTTACTGTGTCTACTAAAATAAATCATACCTCAGAATTCAATGATTGCTTTTTATTTGAGGTGACCCTGATGAAACGGTCCATGGCGTCATATGCGAACCAGGATGGAACCAAAACATCCTTGGATCCAAAACCAGACGAAGCACAGGATACTTTTCGTATAGTTGGATAAATTCCATTATTAAACCATTATCCATTCAGCTTTGAGTATCTGCAATACTACGAACTAATTTACATATCAGAATATTAATGGATGCTTGTAATATACGGATAATATGAAATATATATTGTAGTTACCTGTCAAAATGTAAACGAATTGTTGGATTCGTCGGTAAGAGGTCTTGCAATGAAACACTTTCGACTTCTCTTAAGTAGGTTCTTTATTATTTTACAAAACTGATGATTCATTGAACTTAATTATTCGTACTTGGATAAACTATCGGTCGGAACACGGCCAAATGCCAACGTTCGCCATAGGACGCTCGTAGCTTGGAAGATGTTCGTAGCATCGTGTAGAGCCGGCTTTAGGCTATCAAACCTCATGCAGTGACATTGTAAACTGCCACTAGAACACTTTAAGGTTGTATACCTCCGAGTATACAACATTGACAATGTTCTTTTGCTTTCAAAGACAGACTTCAATGATTCTATCATATCATACGCAGACTCTACACCTTTTACATACTCAATATGTCGGTTTGTTATGCACTGTATAATTTTTGACCTAGCTATTGATTATTGCTTTATCATCCATAGCATTTATCTCTGCAATCATTTTTTTAACAATGTCATCGATTTACAATCTTTTTCGTCTAATAAACCATTGACACGCAACAACCAATTCGAAAAATTACCATCCGCTAATAACGTAATTTGCGTTCCCATCACCGCCACTTTGTCTTCCTTCGTCGGACGCGACAATTGTATTGTATTGTTACGTTTTTATTTTTTTTTCGTTCTTAGTGTTTCTTCTCAATAGACAGGTAGCAAAATTTGTTTTATATTTTTTTTTTTGTTTTTTTGTTTCAGCAGCAGAATTCGAGAATCCTTTGTCCTTACCTTTCCTTTTACCCATTAGATGTCGTTATTCCTTATTTCTTTAAAATTTTTGTTTGCAAAATATCTATTAATAATCTTATTAATTTATTTTGGGAGGAGAGGTTTTTTTTTTTCTTTTGTTTGTTAATAAGGGATTTAGTTTTTAAATGAAAGACAAATGTTTAATACCTACAGTATTTATTTTGACTTTTACTTTTGGGAGTTGCGCGATAAGGTACATTTTTTTTTGAAATTCGAGTCGAGTATAAATTCGGACGGGTTTTGAAAACTCGGTCTCTTTGGTTTTGGTGACAATTCTCTCCGTCGGTGGTGAAGAAAAGCAACGACGAGTGTAATTCAGCGTAGATAGACATTTTGGAAAATTTGCGATTAAATTTTGGCGTCTTGAGGCTAATCCGAAGTCATCGGAAATATCACTCCCGTTGAAAAGTCGCGGTTAAGTCTTTTCTATAACCCGACCCGGATATTTTAACCGGATTTAATATTTTTCACCATATTCCATAAATTTTGGGCGTAGACCTCGACCAACTGAGGTAAGAATTGCTTATTTCGGTTAATCATAACTTTTCCCATCCATATCACAACATTCTTATTATTTATTGATTAGCATAATTTCATTGATTAGATTTACCCTTTTCATTGAAAAAAAAAAAAAAGAAAATCAACCGTTCACACTTACATCCGTTCATTCTTTTCATCCATTCCCTTAGCGAATTTTTTTTTTCTAATCGGTAATTACGATCCGTAGGTCTTTCTTTTGGGGGAACCATTTTTGTTAATGAAATTCTTGGTCCTAAAATTCTGAGCACATTTTAATAACTTCAATACCACTGGATATCCACTCCTTACCATACCATCTCGAAGGAAGCTGCTGAAGATCATCCAACTCATACCTTTTCGAAGTTGACTATTAAAATATAAAAAAAAAAGAAGACAACTTAAGGTCAGATCAACAATTCGTTTTAAACTTTAAATTTTTTTTTATTCTACTTTATTGTCTGTCTACTGTTTCAATTATTAAGTTTGATAATTCAATTTTTTTTTGTACATTATAATAATACTTACCTAGTATAATTTAGGATCTTTTTTTAAAAAAAAAAAAAAAAAAAGAGTAACATACAAACTAAATTTAGGATATATAATTTTGTTTTGTTTTGAATTTGCGAATCAGTTGATTATAATTTATTTTTTTTTACTTTTGTAAAAGAGTTTAATTGGTATATTTTTTTTTGTTATTTTGAAATTCAATTTTTTTTAATTTTTAATCGATTTCTGAAACAAGTACTTGAGGTAGACAATCGGTGTCGCGGTCAATCAGGTGTTTCATTTTTTTTTTTTTGGTTATCCAATTAAATCTTCTTAGTTTCATTTTTTTTTGATATTTATTTTTCGTTAGGTTGATATTTATTTTGATTTGATTTAACCTATAATTTATTTTATTTTATTTGATTTTTTTTTTGCAATATATATATCATTTTGCTTACCTGCATCTATTGAGTTTCTTTATTTTCTCTCTATATCTTTGTGTTGTTAAATTTTCGTTATTGTATGAACTCTTGTTTCCAACATCACTTCACAATCAGTGCCCGTTGCGAATTAACGGATTGTGTGGCGCCTTAAATAAATCGAACCTTCCCTTCTCCAAACGAGTTTGCCGGGGAGTTCGCAACAAACTGGTTAGGTTTAACGATAACGTAAATTGTTTTGCGGGTTGTGTGTCGATCGGGTAACAATTTCAAAAATTGTCATAATTTTCATTTCGGGTGCGTTTTGGTTTACCTTTTTTTTTAAGGCGTAACAGTATGAAACTCTTCTTTTATTGTTTTTCTTCTTTTTCCTTACGTATACCACACTTTTTCCAACACTATATAATGACCAGGCTTTACTTGTACTCTGGGCCCATAACCCAGGGGGTTTTAATAAAAACTACAGCAGTTAAACAGATTACAACAGTAGTTTACTTATAACTCGGCATCACACACACTAAGTGTTACCAACTTAAAAACTATTACATTCAACAAGATATTGAATGTTTTTAAAATTTAAGACACAACTTTGAAAGTTGCGTTAAATCATCTCATGTCTCTGGTCTGTGTCGCTTCTTACGCGAATCACCCTGTATATATAGTTTTTATTTTAATACTCATTAAACAATTGCTAATTATATCACAATATGTGCATTAAACACAATATTTATATTTACCGAGATAATGTACGCACTTACAATTATTATTACAATACTACAGAACATTAATTAGTTAAACTTAAGTGAAAATTAACTATCCTAATATTACAGTATAAATTAACAGATTTGTAAGTAAAAAACTGTTAATCATTTGGTAGGCGCTATGCGCAAATATACAAACAGTCGCTTGGCGTACTTTGTACACCAATCTAAATTTTTAAAGAAAAACGATACGTATTCAAAATATTTTTTATTTTTTAACATTCACAACATTTAGGAAACATAAATTCGTAAATTAATAATTGGTCTTCTTCCATGCGTCGCTCGGAACAGGTAAGACAGGTGTGATTTTATTTTGCAGCAATTGCTTTGCTAAGAGGTAGCTTGTGTACCAGTTATATCAAGTTTTTGTTTTTTCCTTTGAATAGCGAAACCAATCTGAATAAGGGCCGTGAGGTTGTTTCCCTCAATAAATCTCTAATGTCCTAATTTATTTAACGTTACATTAGCGAAAATCTTAGGAGCATAGCTAACCGTTGCTCATCATCCGAATTAAGAGTCGCTCTAGCCTGACTAGCTGAAACTGAAATTTCTGGTGGTACACTGGAAAATGGACCATTCATCCTTACGAAGGTTAGGGACTAAGCCCATCTTTCTCCAAAAATCTATTCCTAAAATGAAAATTAGCGCCTGTCTCCACGGCTATTGGTACTGACATTACTCCCACAATACTGCATTTATCGTCGTTGGCAACCGTACATTTCATTTTTGTCCAAAGATCGGTAAACCCAAACGTTTTAATAAAGCTATACCATCGCGTCCAGCAATCGTCTTTGTCGCCTCGGAATCCATCAATCCTGTAATTCTTTTTCCCATAATATATAAATAAGGGCGTTCGTCGCCCTCGCGTACGTGAACACATAATGTTGCCTGCTTTCTTTTACATTGTATTTCTTTTGCTATCTTTGAGTCAGGACAAATTTTTCGTAATAAATCAGGTAGAACGATTCACAGTAAAAGATAAATTGTGTTCAGCAATAAAAGAAGATATATAAAGGTCAGCCCTTTTAACGTCCACTTCTAAATTTGTGGTAGGTTTAAAACTTCAAGAAGCGTTTGCTGTGATAACTGTATATGAGACGCAGATTCTTGATGACGAACTAACTGGTTCTTTCCAGAACAAATAAAGTATATATAGTAAATAAACTACATATATAAAATATATGTAGTAAATAAACTACGCTATGTTCCTCTTGATTTGCTAGTTCTCGAGCAGTGATCTTTGAGAAATTTGTAAACTGATTTTTATAGTTAAGAAATTTAACAAACAGAACAGAAAATGTGAGAAAGAACTAGCTGGTTCTCACCGTGGTGGCCACTTTATTGGTCCATTATTGCCAACTCAATCATTATTGTATTTTCTGTTTAAAAAATCAGTAACCACTCTACTGTTGTGAGGTGGGGCGCCGTCTTGTTGGAAAATTAATCCATTATAAGTTGTAACTGGTAGATCCTCCAAGAAATCCTCAATTCCATTATCAAGCAAGCTGAGGTATCTGTCCCTTGTAAGGTTGTCATCTAACAATTAAAACCAAACCTTTTTTAGAAATTCCCTTCCTCCATCAAATATAAATTTTCTTGTGCCCAATATCTTTTATTATTTCGATTAAACATACCCAAGTTAGTAACTCGACTCTCATCTGTGTAAAGAATTTTGAAGGAGAATACATTATCGTTTTGATATCTTTCTAAATACCAATTACAATAGTGGAGTCGTCTTGCATAATCATTCTCGTACAAATGTTGATGTAATTGGTATATGTAAGAACGGGGAAACGTTTACGTTCTACGGAGCAACATAACTTTTAAATACATACATTAGTTAGATAGTAGAACAAAATGAATTTTTGTTAATTATTCAAAAACTATAAGAAATATACCCCACAAACTATATATATTTGTTATCAGCAGAAAATAACAAATTATTTTAGGTCATAGCCAACTATGGTTTCCATTTAAAAAAATAAAGTTACGTCTAAAATCTCGAAAATAAAAGATGGGAAAAAAATTCTACCTACGCCACTGAATTCTTCGTAAAAAGTTGCCCATATAATGTTTTATTTATTTTATTTTATTCGCGAATGTCTTTTTCGCAAAATTTTCAGTTTTTGCCGATAGGGCGAAAACAAAAGACGATAGCTGTTCGGAGTTTTCGGCATTAGCATTTTCTCGAAAAACGAGATCATGACATGTAAGCTATTTTTTTCTATCACTTTTAGTTTCGGAGATAGCGGAGGTAGATCGGTGAAACGTAAATCACTGTCAACCTCAAGACCCAAAATTTGTACTTTATTAACGAATTTTATGTTTGTACCACTTATCTTGATCAACATATTGTCACTATTGTTGAATGACTTCCAAGTTTTTACATTACCAAAAATTGTAGCCGAAGATTTATTCGTATTCAAACTTAATGAATGCGATTCGGACAGATTAGCTAGACGATCATCATTGTTTATAAGCTTAATTATCCGCAAAGGTAATTATGTAATCAATACAAGTTCGACATTCCCTCCCGATTCGATTCTCGTAGGCTCACAAATTAATTGTCTCAAGCCAAAACTCATAAACACATAGACGTCTCCACATACTTCCACCCTCAAACAAAGCATCAACATTAAAATCCACCAAACAAAAAATCTCATCCGTATAGGGGCAAAGAGAAGCCAATTAGTCTTTCATTTCTATTTGAAATTAGTTGCTGTACATGGGATTTGAATTTTGCTGCATACTTTTGGATGACCTGTATACTATTACTAATTGTAATTATTTCTACATAGGCGCAATAAAAAATTTATTAAAAAAAACGCATAATTGATTCACAATGAAGTGAACAATAAGGCAGAACTATATTGGTATGTCGTTTTTGGCAAAATTGAACTGCGGAAAAAGGTTAAATTTAACCCAGAGAAGTTAATTCCATTCGCGAGCACATATAACAGCATTGCGCTACAATGAAGGTATTTTATTTTTTTCAAATTATCGCTAATAAAATTGTTGTATATCAATTAATGTTGTTGATTTTTGTATCGTAGGTCATTCATGGCCAAAGTATGGCTTACAAAAAGGTGGTGGTGGACAGGTTGGGCAGCAATTTTTAAGATACATTGAGGTTTCACCAGAGCAACGCAATCAAATAGCAGAGTAAGCTCTCTGCCAAGTATGCTTGTGACACTTATATTCAGGGAAAAAAAAAACTCGACTAATTGCGAAATTAGTGCTAAAAGACGCCAAATGACAACTTCTCAAAATTTAATATATCGGTTACTTTATAATAAACTATTTAAAAGTGCCGGTATGATATGGTAGTGAAAAAGAAATAGTGGCTCGTGCAAGATTAGAAAGGGAGTTTCGCGTTACTGTAAAGTCTGTTCACTTATTTGTAGATATTGATAATGGCTTTTTGGAAACATCACCGGATGGTATTGTTAATCTATAATGAAAATTTAAAAGTAATTATTGTTTTCTGGTAAACATATAAGTCTTATAGGCGACGATTCTATTATTGAAATAAAGAGCTTGTACAGCGTTCATAAAAGTGGAATGACATTATCTGAAGCCGTTACAGTAAAAAAAATATATGCTTAGAAAATGTGAATGGAGAAATACGGCTGAAAAGTATTTGAAAAGTAAACTATTGCTGCTTTTTTATAGTCTACAAGAACATATTATGCTGTCAAAATAACTTGTTAGCTGATTTTTCTTACTGACCGAATATTAAAAAAAACATTTAATTAACACCCATTGTTTAATATTATTTAATTTTTAAGTTCTATTTTCTATAACGCTAATTAATTCTATCCGCTGGATAATAAAGTTTATTTATGTTATTATGTTTCGCTTTTTATTTTGGATTAATATTGTTTTTTAAACATCCATACAATTAATATACGCATAATATCCGAAAATTGCTTATTGTTGGTAAACTGCATTAAAAAGAAAAATTTCTAATTAGCGCCATCTATGAGGCGGATGACAAAGCTTTGTTTTACTGATTTATACAGATTTCTTTACGAATTCCCAATATTCCGACAAGATCGCACATTTTCTATTTTACCCAAATTTCGAGATAATAACAATTCAATTTTACGTTTAGTTACACGTAATCTCTTCCTACATTCTACGAGTATCCTTGAAGCGTTATCGTCTCAATTTAGTGTTTAATTTTACAACGCGGAAAACTTCAATGTGTAGAAAAATGTGTGTACTTCAATTTTATGCATTCACTTTTCCATAATAATTTGCCATGAAGTTGTAACTTGGGTAAAAACCCTTGTAATATGTTAGAATCGTATGTAGAATAAAATGCATTCTTTGAACATAAAGCTCTTGAAAATCAGTCGATGTCATATATCGGTAAGGATGGCAACATTGATTCAGGTTCACGTAAACCAAGTATTAACTGCATCATACTTAAAATATTAAATTATCTAAATACTGTTCTTAACAAATATATAAAAAAATAATTAGAAAAATAAATTGTGTCTAAAAATGGAGAATAATTTAA